ACACCTGCACCCCTGCCCCGTGAGCACTCCCCAAGGAAGGTCTTGACTCAGGCAGAAACCTGTCCTGGGCCTGGTCCAGCCCAGGGCTGTGGGGACAGGGCCAGCTGTTCCCAGGCATGTTCCCACTGTGCCATGAGGTCCTCTTCAGCAGGGACAAGGGACATGGGCTCAGCCCACCTAGGGTATCCCGAGGTCCAGGGAGAGGGTGCTTGGAGCCTGGGTTTGAGTGTCTGGGTCACAGGGACACCAATGCGACCCAAGGTTCCTTACCAGAGGGTGGGGTGGCGGGCCCGAGGAGGTCCCCTCTGGGCATGCAGCAACCCTCACTGGCTTGGACTCCGGGGAGGAGGCAGCCGTGGCCTGCGGGTGGTAGCGCCCTCCCCCGGGCTCTTGGTAGGCCAGGATAGGGTGGAGCTCACAGGGGTGATGCCCAGTAGGGTGTGCCTGAGCTATGGTCAGCCGCTCTGGCCAGTCTCCCTGCACCCCCAGCCCACACTTCGTCCAGGGGACCCTGCTCCCTGTCCCTCTAAGCCTGGTGGCGGCTGCCCCTGCAGAGGGAGGGCCTGAGCGGAGATGTGACTGTGAGAGCTTGGAGAAGCCGAGGCCGCCGGCCTGTTGGAAGGGTCTTGAGTAGCCCAGGGAGGTGCTGGGGGCTCCACTGCGAGGTGATTTTGGAGGGGTGGGCGTGCCCTGCAGACCTGAGTTCTCCATGTGCAGCTGAGCCCTGGGGCCACCGCAGGATGCAGAAGGCGCCAGCCTTGGGGAGGACGGGTAGGCAGGGGGTGCTATGGGCTGCGCAGCCCTGACCTCAGCGTCTCATCCTGTTGCCTTCACACACCACTGACTGGGGGCTGCAGACACAGACCTTCATTTACCACAGTTCTGGAGGCTGCAAGTTTGAGACCAAGGTCCTGGGGAGGGCTCCTGGTTTGCCACCGCCTCACTGCGTCCCACATGGCAGAGTGCGCTCTGGCCTCTTCCCCTTCCTGTGAGGACGCTAATCCTGCCAGGCCAGGGCCCCACCCTCATGACCTCCCCTAACCTTAAGTATCTCCCTGTACTGGCCCCCACACCATGGAGCGCCCTCCTGGGACCCTCACTTCCTGGGAGGGGGCAGCCTGTGGCTGCTGCCACCCCTGTGGTCACCCCTCCTCTCTCCGGCTCAACGGTGAGAACTGGGAGGCAGCCCCCAGGGTAGCTCCCCATTTCCCGGGTCCCCTCCTCCTGGCAGGCAGCCCCTGAGGCACTGGCCACGTAGATGTGCAGGGAAGACAGGGTCGCAAAATCCAGGCCCGACACTGTGTGCCCAGCGTGGGTCATGTTTACCCGAAGAAGGCCAGTGCCAGGGCCCCTGCCCGGCCTCGCGGCCTCGAGTTAACTCAGGCTCCAGGATAAACACCCATTCAGCTGCACAAGGCCCCTTTGTCCTGGGAGAGAGGCTCCCAGCCCAGGATGCTGCCTGGTGGCCGGTGTCCTCGGCACGGCCCCAGACCAGGCCGGCTGCCTCAACACGTCCAGCCACCCCGCCTGGCCTTCTCCGGGCGGACTCCTGGCTTGGCTCGCAGAGGCCCAGCGGGGACCTGGCAGGCAAAGCTGGGCGAGGAGGCTCCGGCTCCTGCTGTTGTCTCTCGAGGCTGCTTCGGAGCAGACCCTGGCCCAGCGGAGAGAGGTGGAAGCCTTGTGGCCACACGGACCCCTTAGCCAGGCATGCCTGCAGGCAGGTAGGGACACGAAGGGCCGTGCTGCCTGTGGGCAGTTCTCCAGGCCATGGGGCAGTGGACCAGCTCTGGAGGCCCCTCCGCTCCCCCATCCACCCCGACCCCAGGCTGGAGAGGACCTGTCCACAACCTGCACTGGCCCGGCTTCTCCAACCAACAGCCACTGGTCTCAGTGGATCTGGGCAGGCTGCCAGGGGCCCTCAGCCAGGGACTGTGCTCTTTGTCCAGGATCCGGGGTGAGATGGTCCCAGGAGGCCAGCTGGGAGGTGCCACAGGGATCTGCAGCACAGCGGGCCATCGGGGGGAACGGGAGAGAAGCCTGAGGCCTGGGGAACACTCTGCCAGCCCAGGTACCCACCTCAGCAGTGCCTGGCAATGGCACACTGTGGCCTTCTGTCCTGCACCAAGGACTTCCTTCCACATGGGCTCGCAAACCTGCCCTCCTGCCCGTGGGGCTGCGCAGGCTCTGAAGGCCCGACCCCCGCGCAACTGCATACTCTCAGCTTCCCTGGTGGCCCCCTTGGCTTCTTGGCATCCCGGCCCTGCCCCTTGAGGGCATCACCCACCTGGTCCCATCCCTGCACCCTGGCCCATGGTGGGCAGCGACCCCTAGTGGCAGCCAGGTTTGTTGCTGCTGCCTAACCAAGGGTCAATCCTGGGTCTGATCACCAGATCCAAGTCGAGACAGTCTCTGAGGCAGGTCCTGGGACTGGGTCCTGTCCCTGCCTCAGTGCTCAGATTCCCGGAGTGGCTCAGACCTGGCCGGGACCACATGAGTGTGGCAGGGTGTGGCCTGGTGGGAACACTGACACCCCAGTGATGAGAGAAAACACCGTTTCCACTTAAGTTTCCTCCTCAGGCCTGAGCTGAGCGTCGCTCACCTGTCGGCCTTGGGCGTTTCTACTTGCCTGGTTCCGGAGGACAGCGAGGCCCAGGCCCAGCAGCACCAGCCCCCAGGAACAGGTCAGCAGTGCCACTTCCCAGCCCCACACACACCTGAGGCAGACACTCAGGGCACCCCCTGGCTGTCCCTGTTTCTGGGGTCTAGGTGCCACGGCTCAGAGCCCTGGCGACCTGTGTCTCAACAGCTCGGTGCCTGTGTCCGGGGTCCCAGCTTGCCTCAGAGCCTCTGCACCTGTCCCAGAGTCTGCAATGTGCAGGGCGGGCTGGCAGGCTGGAAACTTCAACGGGAGCCGATCCTGCCGTCTTGACGCAATTTCTTCTTCCTCAGGGAAACATGTTTTTTGCTCCTAAGCCTGTCACGTCATGGAAGATAATCTCGGCAGCGCTGACTCTGCAGGTGTTCCCTGACCACGCGCACACCGCAGCAGGCGAGCACGTGGTCACTGGGGCTGCAGGCCTGCCAGGCTGACACCAGACCCACCATCACAGCTGGCTGCTGATACATTTTATGTTTTTACTCGAAAACTTCAGCCCCCTTGGATTTTGATCTGTGGTCCCCACGTGCCATGGGCGCCTGCCGAGGGAGGCGGGCTCAAGGCAGCCAGCTGCGGGGCAGGGAAGAGGGAAGGGCACCCCGGGGCAATGGCTGTGGATAAAGCTCGGCCTCAGGCCAGGGCCAGCAAATCTTCACTTTAACCAACACCAGTAACTTCAGCCTTTGAATTTAAGGGAAACTTTATTTAATCTTATAACAATCTAGTTTAAACACAAGTTAACAGTAGAAAGAACGTAACAGAACCTAAGAGACGGACAGACAGGAGGGAGGGTGGCTGCTGGTCAGTGGCTTCCGGTCAGCTCTTCATCTTGGAGATGAGGTCATCACAGATCCTGGTCAGCTCGTCATTTTCCTTAGTCTGAAGGAGAAAAGATGAATCGCTGGGTTTCTGCAGAACGTGCTTAGAAGGAAGAGCAACAGGCCTAGAACAGACGGCCCTGAGCCTGGCGGGCTCTGGGGTTCCCCGCGCCCCACCTTCTGCTCCACCGTCTTCTCCAGCGAGTGGACCCGCATCTGCTCCTTCCTCAGGCTCGCCTGCAAGGCCAAGGCTTCTGCCTGAGCCTTGCTCCGGACCTGGGCAATCTCCTCATTTGCCCTGGAGAGGCAAGGGCAGGGGGCAGAGGCTGAGCCCAAGGGGCTGAGGACCAGACCCTCCTTCCTGGGGGCTCCCTCACCCCGAGCACTCACAGCTTGAGCTTCTCTTCCGCATGGGCCTTCAGTGCTTGGTATCTCTGGCCCTCCTTGTCAATCCTCACTAAAAACTCCTCAGCGCACCTCTTCAGCGACTCTTCGTTCTTCAGCAAGGGGAGCAGACATTAACTGTTAACAGTACTTATCTATGTAAGATGGTCCATGCTTGGCACTTGGGGACCCTCGGGGTCAGGTGCAGACTGCAGACCCTCGAGGCTGCCTGGGACATTAGCAGTGAAAAAGCCACTCCACACGCTTCCCCAGCCCACCCGCTTCAGAGGTTCTGGACAGCCCCAGGCTCTCTACCCTCTGGGGTGCCGGTTCTGACCCCTGGGCCCTTGCAGCTGTCGCCCCTCCTGCCACACCCTCAGCCAGCCAGCAGCTGTGCCCAGGCACTGGGAACACCGACCAGCCTGCCCCTGGGTGCCTCCCCCTGCAAGCTGAGACCGCTGCTTTAGGGGTTGCAGGGACAGGATGACAGCAGGGGCCACCTGACATCCAGACATGCTGCTCCCCACAGCCCTGCAGGCCCCTGCACACCCCAGTGGCAGTGAGGAGCCACCAGCTGTGGTGTGTTGGGTGGTTTAAAACCGAGTTCTGCTGAGGTTCCCGCCTCCTGCTAAACCCGCATACGGCCTTGTGTCTTGTGGCTGTGGATGTTCCTGTAGGTCAGGAACTGCCTGTAGGAGAGGCATCTGGGTGTGTGGTCAGGCCTTCTCTCCACAGCGCCATCTCCCTGTCTTCTGTACCCAGCTCCAGAGCTGCAGTCTGCACTCCGGCCCCTGACTCACCCTCTTCTTCCCATGGTGAATGTTCAAGGCAGCCAGTCTGAACTGTGTCCAGTGAATTTTTAACTTTGGTAAGTATATTTCTCAGTTCGGAATTTTCATTTGGTCCTTTTCTAGTTTTGTTGTCTCTACTGAAACAATACCTCTTTGAATATTTGTCTCAAAAAATAAAAAAATAAAAGCCCCTGGTGGGTCCTTGAAGGTGGGATTAAGCACAGAGAAGCCTCCATGAGAGTGGGGATGTGGCTGGCGGTAGCCATGACACAGGCCTGCCTCAGAGAGGCGAGGCCAGTGATGCAGACCACAGCATGGCCGAGGGGAGGTCCAGGAAACACTGCTGGGAGGGGCGTCCTCGAGCCAATGGCACTGTCCGAGGGGGTCCTGCCTCTCCCAGCATCCACACAGCAGCCCCTGCCAACTCTGCTCCCCAAGGCAGATCTGAGAAGCACCTTCCACCAACACCTGCTTCTGTGGACATCAGTGTCTGGTACTCCTATGGGTCTGTTTCTGCTTGCTGGTTCTGATTTTCACTCATGTTTCCTCCTCCAACACCTAGTTATCCTGTGCCAGGTGTTATTTGTAAAACCGTCTCTAGCACTAATCTAAGATTTACACTATCTTACATGTCATAGTTCTTCGATCACAGCTGAGTTGTTCTTTACACACAGTGGATGGTCCAGACACTGCAGAGCCCAGGACCTTCTCCAGAAGGCAGGTTCTCCCACGCACAGAGTACAGCTGTACCCCCTGCCACCTGCCCCGGCCTCTCCTATGCTCGTCGTACCCCTGCCATGTCCTGCCTCCAGGCTGTGCCCGTGCGGCTGCTCTGCTCACCTGTCCTCCCACCAACCTCAGCCAAAGCCTCGCAGACCAGCTGTGCCATGCGACTCCCACCCCAACCAGTAGCAAGGGAAGGCTCGGCATAGGACCAGGTCCTGTCAGCTTGGACTGTAAGCCCCCGTGAGCCCACGTGGAAAGGACACAGGGCGGCACGGCGTACCTTGTGGTAGCCTTCAATCACCTCCTTCTGCTTCTCAAACCGTTTGAAGAGGTCGGAGAAGGACTTTTCCATGGATTTCAGGTCTGCAATAAGTTGGTCTTTTTCTTTTAGAACTTTCTGGATTTCGGCTTTGGCAAGTTCCTTCTGTTTCTCAGCCTCCTCTTGAGACAAAAAAAAAAGCAAGCACTGGGGATTAGAGGCAACCTAAATGCCGGAGTCCAGAAACAGCCAAGAAAACGAGGCAAGGGAACCAGGCACCAGGAGGAGAGGCAGGAAGCTCGGGTGTGAGCCGCAGCAGACGTGGTCCCTGGTCAGATGTCCTTGCAAGGTGACGAGCTCCCCTTTCTACCTGTGATCTTCCCGGGTGGGACAGAAAGCCCAGAACACAGCTGTTCCCTCAACGTCAGCTGCACAGGAGACCACAGGGAGTGGACAATGAAGCCCTGGGCCTGAAGCCCGGGACCCAGCAGCAGAGGTCGCTCAAGGAGAGGGGCAGTGCTCAGACATCCCCAGAGCCCACAGTGTGACCTACAAGCTAGGAGCTGGCGAGGCGAGCTCGAGGCTGCTGGTTGTGATGGTGTAGTGCTCTCAGAAGGAGACAAGGGTGGGGAAGTCACCTGTCCCTGGCTGACTCGACCTAATACAGGTCCCCACAGGGGTACCTGTAGGAGACTGAGCCCTTGTCCCAGGTGAGGCCTGGTCTTCCAGCAGCACCCATGAAGGGGTAGAGGGGATGACATCTGTTCCCTGCCACGGCCCCAGCTGCCAGCTCAGGGACTCATCAGTTTTGGGGACTGACAAGTACCAGCCACACAAGTGCCACCAGCCTGACTGCCAGCTTCTCCCAAACTTCTCAGTGGCTCCATGGTAGGTTTGCTGTGAGGGATACTTGTGTGGTAGAAAGAGGGACCCTGGAAAGGTAGAACTAACCTGGCCACACCGAGTGTCCACAGAGCTAGGATGTCACAGGGGTTGGGGGGCGTGGGGCAGGGATGGGGAGCGGCTGGCACCTGGCAGAGACCCTTGGGTGGCCCGGGCACTCACCCATTGCCTGGTACATGAGTGCCTCAAACCTGTCCATGATCTTCCTGTGGGAGGAGAACAAATGAGTGTCCATGACCTTCTGTGGCCAGGTGAGCGAGGTCACACTGGCTTGAGGCTGCAAGGCTTACTTACCCCAGCTCCAGGTTCTTCCCGTGGAGCTCCTCACACTTGCGTTTCAGCTCCAGGTTTTCCTCCTGTGTCACTTTCACCTGTGCAAACCACACACCTGAGTCAGCAGGTAAGACGTAGACTCCCCCCAGCCCCCCACCTCCCATGGTGTGTGCCTCTCACAAGGATCTGACTGTGCCCACACCCAAGGTCTCTGGGGCCATATCACCAAGTCACAGTTCCATGAGGGATTTCCAGGGGGACCCTGGGAGCCCTGGCTAGGCCCAGGACATGCAAGTTAGGTCACCACGGGGCCAGGAGGCATGGGGTCGCTGGCTGTGCTTCTGAGCGACTGGCCCTGGTCGAATCCAGTAGGTGCCCAGGGAGTGCATGTCCGCCTGGCATGTCCACCCATCAGGGCCCCACGGGCTCTGACTCAATTCTAGTTAACTTTGCGGGAAGGCAGGGCCCAGAGGCCCACCCGTCCCCAGGAGCCCGGGCCTGCAAGGTGGAGGGTGGCCAGTTACAGAAAGGCGGCCAGGCTACAGGCTGTGGGCCTCTAGGCCTGCTCCAGGGCCACTCGATGGGCTCCAACACAGTGCGGGGGGTTGTTCACGACCTGTGGGTCAGGGCCTGTGTTGTAGGCCTGAGAAGACTCGAGGCCTTAAGTCCCCGCCAGGCCAGCTGTCCTCCTGGACCATCCCATCCATACATCCCCTGGCGATTGCGAGGCAGATGGCAGCTCAGCGTGCTGCCCAAAGACACCCAGACCCTCGACTGTCCACAGATAAGACGATTGAAACAGGCTGAGCCTCGGTGTGTCTGGTTAGGACAGAGGGAAACACACGGGACCCTCAAATCTGAGGAAGGTGGAGGTGGGGCTCTCTAACCCATCCAGAGATGGAGTCTGCACTGGTGCAGAAGGGCAGGGCAAGAAAGGGCCACACCCAGGTTCACGACAGCAAGTGCCACATTCAACGCTGCGAGATCACCACCCCCAAGATGAACACCGCACCCCGGGCCAGAGTCCAGGCTGTCTGACAGCTCCACATGGGGGAGTCAGCTTGTGGGCAGCTGCCTGCTTCGATGCTGGACGGAA